AGGAGGCCCCGGGGCAGACCCAGGACACGCTGGAGAGATTATTTCTCGGCTGGCCTGGGAACGCCTTGGTGTTCCCCCGGATAAGCTAGAGGAGGTGGCTGGGGAGAGCACGGTCTGGGCTTCTCTGCTTAGGCTGCTTGCCCCGGATAAAGCGGAAGAAGATGGATGGATAACTAACCACGTGCATCTGTTTCTTAGGTTGGAGCAGCCCTACCTGAATGCGAACGCGTCGTTCTTCGAGGCTTTGTCCTGCTGCTCCCGACTGCAGCGCGTCTGCCTTATCTCACGCTGTGGCACTTTTGACCCATCAGCTACAGAAACTTTCATGGAGCGGTGCTGCCATGTCGTCATGTGCCACATGTTCATGGGCGGCACCTTAGTGATGTGTCGCACGCTGCAGAAAGCTCTGCTGGACAGGTTGGTGACTGTGTTCATGTATTTAAAGCTAGGGGGCATATTCTGTCAAAAGTTTTACCTGTGGGGTCTTTTCACTCGTTTTGTGTGTTTTCTGGCTTTTTTTTTTTTCTTCTTCTTTTTTTTCCTTCTTAAGGTTCTCAGCAGAGCGCCCGGCACTCAGTGTGGTCATCTATCCGTTACAACACGAAGACCTACCCTCGGTCATCAGAGAGATCCCATTAACACTGCTGGACCGGATCACTTTGTTTCAGAGCCACGTGGCTCAACCACCACATTTATCACCATTGTGACCTCATCAGGATGCTTTAGTGTGATTGGTGCTCAGCAATTGAGGTGCTCTCATCATTTTTTTTTTTTTTTTCTCTTGCACGAAATAAAATCCACAAATGATGCTGAGACTGAATGTCATCAGCACCATGATTTCTGTTTGTGTGCTCCACGATTGTTTACATTTACACCGGTGATCATCTTTCCAAGGGAAATAGACTCACTCAGGCTCACGGTTCGTTCCAGGATGTTTCAGATGCACTGCGGCTCTGTGACGGTTGTGGCTTCTCTATCACAAATCATTACAGTTCCTTTAAAATGAAGTGCCAAAATGGATTTTAGGATGCATTTGTATTTTAAACTTTATACCAAATATCATAATAAAGTCTGTATAAATAATTTTTAATCCTTGTGTGCTGCTCTTCCATTCATGTCAGGCTGTTATTTTTTTTAAAGTAACTATAATGGAATAGCACTGGAGGTAGCTCTTTTTTGTGTTTCAGTGTACTCAGTTTGAGACAAAATAATATATTGACATCTCTTTCATTTCAATATTCTCTGAGAACACAAAATTGGGTGGCGATTTGATTTATTTGATAAGTTATCATATTCATACTCAATTACCTTTTTATAAAGTGTATTTGGGATACAGACTTTTTTAACACCATGTACAAAGTTCAAAATGAATTGGAAAGAAGCAGAAAGTCAAAATGAATCATATTTAATGTTCATGGAACACCATTTACAGTTAATTACTGCCTTTAATCTTTGACCCACAGAGCCATCAGCAGGAGCTCTACTCAGACCTTTATTACAGCCACTTAAAGATGGAACTTCTTGTGTGATATTGGGCTCACCTACAGCAGTGATGACCGCAGAGAATATCATGCCATCACCCTGACAAGCTGTGTGGCTGCATGAATATGAATCATGTCCTTCACCGTCAGTCTGAGTCAAACAAAGCACACAGAAAGTGAGTGAGTAGCCATGGATACCCATCAGTCTGTGTGACTTGGTCAGGAACTATGACACACTAAAATTTACTGTAGGTAGGCTAGATGAGCAGGAAAAGACCGGTCGCCACCTCTCCTTGGTTACATTTTCAGGTTTTTTCTTTTCATTGTTGAAAAATACTTGCTCGTGGAGGGTTGTGTGATTGTTGGGGTTTTCTCTGTATTATTGTAGGGTCCATGGGACAATGATATACAGCACCTTTAGGGGACTGTTGTTCTAATTTGGCAAAATAGAAATAAAACTGAATTCAACTGAAAAATTGAAGATCTGTCCACATTCACACATCTGTAAACTCCAACAGCTGCAAAATCTTTCCAAACTTCTTGGTGTCTGTGATTTCAGTCGCAGTCTCAAAAACACTCCGAACACTGCTGAAGCTGTCTCTCCTACACTGGGGTTGTAGATTTCTGATTTTTCTGATCAGCCACAGCAGCGAGTTCCATGCTGGCCTTTTAATAATAAAGACTTGAAGAAGAGAGAGACATTTTATTTTCTTCAAAGGCAGCTTCAGGGTGCCATAAAGGCAGATTATTTTCACCAAGAGTATTTGACTTTTGTTGGTTTTGGGTAATTTGCATGATTAAAAATTAAGATCCAAATGTATGTATCTACAGGGATTGTAACAGGAAACAGGTGCACTGCTCTCCACATCACAATTCAGTGCTTTGTCTCAAAATAACAGCAAAATGCAGAACTTAGAAAACCCCCCAAAATACTTAGTTCCTTAATTTCAAATAAAAGCTAGCATTGAATTAAAAATGTTCAGGAAAGTGTTAATTTTAATTTAGCATTTTTAAAAGTAATGAAATTAATCACAGCTTCAACATATACACTCACTTGCTGCAATGAACATTCATTCTTTAATTTATTATTCATACCTTTTTTGCACTTTTTATCCACTTTAAACTTTACTGTGTTGTGTTTAGTTGTGCTTAGTGTCAACGTGGGACACTTTTCAAACTTTGTTGTACTATTGTACTAACTATGACTGTGCAATGACAATAAAGAGTTCACAGTGATGGAAACATTCCTCAGAGATTTTGGTCCATGTGGACATGACAGCATCATACAGTTGCTGCAGATTATTCAGCTGCACATCCATGATGTGACTCTCCCGTTTTACCACCAAGGTGCTGTACTTGATTGCTATCTGGTGACTGTGGACTCCATTTAAGTCCAACTCACCTTTAACTTAACTCTAAATCTTCAAGAAATCACTTTGATTACCTGAGCTTTGTTACATGGTGTGTTATCCTACTGGAAGCAGCCATCAAAAGATGGGTAAAGCCTAGTCCCAAAGGGAAAAACAATGTCAGCCACAATACTCAGGCTGTGTTAAAGTGATGCTCAGTTGATGCTAAGGGGCCCTAAGTTTGCCAAAAAAAATACTCACCCACACTTTTACACCATCCTTACCAGTCCGAACTGTTATAACTAAACATATCTGTTTATGCCAAATTGTGAACCTACAATCTGAATGTCACAGCAGAAATCAAGACTCCTCCGCTCGGAAAATGTTTTTGTAATCTTCTCTCGTGCAGTGTTGGTGAGCCTGTGCGAACTGTAGCCTCGGTTTCCTGTTCTTAGCGCACAGAAGTAGCACCTGGTGTGATTCTGCATACCTTGGTTGTAACGACTGGTTATTTGAATCACTGTTGCCTTTGTATCAGCTTCATTCTCCTCTGCCGCTCACAGAATATTTTCTCTTTTTCAGACCATTCAGTGTAATAAAAAGAGATGATCGTGTGGGAAAAGCCAAGTTAATCAACAGTTTCTGAAACACTCAAACTATCCCACCTGCCACACTTGAAGTCATGTAATGCTCGGTTTGAACTTCAGCTGGTCATCTTGACCACATCTACATCCCTAAATGCGCTGAGTTCCTGTCATGTGATTGGCTGGTTAAGTATTTGCGTTAACAAGCTTTAGCCTATTAAACTGAACTTGGAGCCCTCTGCTGAAATAATACCATAGTGTGACATGCTGCTGTATAGCTTTCCTTGCAAGGGTAATAATGCTGACTAAACTATCCTGCCTATTCACTTGAGGGTTTATTACCTGTTTCATTTATGCCTTGCTTGACCCCACCTGACCCGCCACTTAGATATTAACTAGAACATTTCCCTGGATGTTTAGTAAATAGAAAGATGTGGCTTTATCCTTCACCTCATTTCACCCCGTTCAAAAGACGGAAAATGTACTTTCATAGCCAGCTGGGGGCGATATCAATCTATCTAAAGATAATGTGAAGCCTAAACACCACACAGGCGTACTAACATATTGTCGATGTAGTCGATCGAAGTATGCCATCCTTAATTAACTAGACTGGTATTTTTCAACAGTTTATGTAAACCGTTAATATAAATATACTTCTAATTAAACTATTAAATTTGTTAATTTACTCCAACGATCTAAAAATAATCCCCCAAAAAGACGCTCATAATTATATTTGTATATCTACTATTAAGGTCTGGGCAAGTTTGTGTCATTGAAACATCGTGGTTGTACTCAGCTTGTCAGCAGCTAGTTAGTGCACCTTTAGCTAGCCTTGTAAGTGTAACACATTTTGTAGTTTTCTGTCAAAAGGAAGAAACTCGACATGATCCGTTAGCTTTTAACCAGCTCGCTAACACTAACAAACATGCTGACGTCCGTCGCCTGTTCGTGTGTGCGAAACGGGAGGAAAATATCGCTTCCTGCTGCCAGGCTGTGCACATTTTCAACCTTTAGGAAGTCATCAGAACCGCTAACTCTAACAGGCAGACGGGATGTGTCACAGCACCCTTTATCCTTATCCAGGCTTCTCACACACACTCCCTGGCATCCTAGGCCCGTGTGTCTGTCAGCCCCCTCCCGAGGAGACGCGGGCCCACTGGACTCCCCCTCTGAACCACTTGAGTGGGAAAACTTCGGCTCTCTGTCTACCGACATGGCCTCCAGGAGGTCGTTCAGGAAAAGCAGCCCAGGCCTCCGGGACCTGCAGTACCGGGAAGACGGAACCGGGAACGAAGAAGAGCGAGAAGACGCCGGTAAACCTCAGAGGAGGCTCGTGAGGAGAAATACACCGTACTGGTACTTCTTACAATGCAAAAAGCTCATCAAAGAGAACAAGGTTAGTGTGGCTGAGCAGTTTTATGTTAACTACTGTTCTTTCTCTACTTCTTCTTCTTCTTTGTGTTTAACTTGGCAACCAACGTAAAGGAGCATTCTGTTCTTTCTCTTCCCTGCTGATGTGTTTATAACCCTCCTCTGTGCTCTCACAGCTACAGGAGGCTCTGGATGTGTTCAGCAGAGACATGCTGCAGGGAGAGAGGCTGCAGCCGGAGGAGTACAACTACACGGTCCTGATAGGAGGCTTTGGACGAGCTGGACAGCTGAAAAAAGCCTTCAAACTCTACAATGATGTAAGCATCTTTAATTTGACCAATTGAAATGAGATGTCAATGTGCAAGGTACACTCTAACTCTAAGTTAAAATGTTCATGTTTGACAGTTTTAGAGTGGTGTTGATTCAGGTGCTGCAGTTTCCAGTTGCTGAATTGTGATGTTTGCAGATGACGTTGTGATATGTAGTGAGGCTAAGGAGCAGGTGGAAGCAAGACGGGAGATGTGTAAGGAGTAGAGAAGGTGAATGCCTGGGGTCAACAATCCGAAGCAACAGGCAGGGTGAAAGATTTAAAGGGAAGGTCTAGAAGAGCTGCTATGGTGTATGGTTGGGAGACGGTGGCTCTGACTAAAGATAGGAGTAGTTCAAGGTGGCAGAGTTGAAGATGCTCTGATTTTCATCAGTAGTGACCAGGATGGACAAAATTCTAAATGTAGTGTATCACAGGGACAGCTCAGGTGAAGCAATTTGGAGACAAAGTTAGAGAGGCAAGAGGGAGAGATGGTGGTTGTAGTGAACAAAGGATGTTGAAGATGGAGCTGCCAGCGGGAAACAAGGAAGACCATAGAGAAGATGCGTGAATATGGACCTCGCTTTTAATATCCACAAGAAGAGACTAAGATTAATACAAATGATTTGTACAATTGAACTGCCCCACATACCAGCTACTACAGCCATCAAAGTTACTATAAATTTATTTGTATGGCAGTCAAGATTTAATGAGAAACATTACTTTGCCAACAGGCTGCCAATCCCTCCATCCTCCAGATTTGTGTCAGGAAAAGTGTGGCTATAATCAAAGAACAGATTCTAGTATTTTTAAAGCTTCAGACACTGATGCAAGACTCCCATGTGTTTGTGTGTTAAAATAAATTGAAGTCTTATTTCAAATTCAGAGGGGTTAAAAGCTTGGGGACTGCTTTAGTCCACTAATGCCATAGAAGAGCCAGCTTTCACAATCAGTTTAGTTTCATTGTAGATGTTTTTTTTTATATTTAAGTGTGTTATTCATTCTTGTCCTTTATTCTGACAGATCGTTATACACAGTCAGAAACCCTTTCTGTAATTATTTGTGTTTATTTATTTTTTTCTCTCCTAGATGAAGAAGCGCGGTCTCACTGCTAACGATGCAACCTACACGGCGCTCTTCAACGCCTGCGCCGAGTCGCCTTCAAAACAGGCTGGCCTGCAGCAAGCGCTGAAGCTAGAGCAAGAGCTCCGTCGCAAAAACTACCCTCTCAGCACAATCACGTACCACGCTCTTCTGAAGGCGCACGCCGTCACCAACCACCTTCAGGCCTGCATTTATACGCTCAGGGTAGGACACACAGCTGCATGTTTATAAGGGAGGAAACTCATCCATTGTCACCAAATTGTGTCTTATTCTGGGTTTGTGTGCATTTTGTAGGAGATGCTGGAGAATGGTCATGCTGTAACTCAGGAGACATTTCACTACCTGCTGATGGGCTGCTTGAAGGAGAAAGAGGCAGGATTCAGGCTGGCGTTACAGGTACGTAATACTTAAGTGTGGGATGTTTTTAGGAGTAAACTTTAAAATAGCCCAACCAATGCCAGCTCTCGTTGATCGTAAAAATCTGATAATGATACATCAGGTGGTCATTAAACAATATTGATACTTGCTACACAAATAAGCTCATTCGTAATGTTCCTTTCAGGTGTGGCGCCAGATGCTGCGGTCAGGGATTCGTCCTGACTCGCACAACTATACCCTGCTCCTGAGAACTGCCAGAGATTGTGGACTTGGCGATCCTGCCTTGGCCACTGCTGTTCTGCTGGGGACTGACTGTGAGGGTCAGAAAGGGAGCAAGGATGCGTCGGAGTCCAGGTGCAAGGCTGTGATAGACATCGACCTACTTGAGAGACAGTTATTCCAGCCTGAGCAGAAGGAAGACAGCAGTGAGACGCGACTCAGACATGACTCAGCCCATCTGATCCCGGTCAGGCAAACAGTAAATGCCCGATTACCCGGAGAGTTAGTCGCCAACTCCTCTGCTCCTAACCTACTAGAACTTTTTGAGGGTAAAAGAGGTGCTGTGGTCTCCCTTGGCACTGTAGATAAAATGTCAGACAGGCTCGCCCTCATCGGTGGAGCTAAAGGTTTTCTAGAGAGGATGGAAGCTAACGGACTCAGTCCAAACCTCAGGACTCTGACCCTACTGGCCAACACGATGGAGCCAGGCTACCAGTCTCTGCAGGTGTTGTTGAAGGTCGCCAAACGGCATCAAGTGAAGCTTGATGTCGCGTTCTTCAACTCTGTGATTCACAGATCAGCGCGAGCCGGGGACTTGGACGAGGCAAAGGTGTGTGTGTGTGTGTGTGTGTGTGTGTGTGGCCATGTATGAAGTATCTGTTGTTTTTGTTTGTGACGTCCATCCTGGAGCAACTTCTTAGGTGAAATAGTCCTCAGAAAAACTGTTGTCTATCTGGTATTTGTAAATCTGGAGGAAGAAGGAACACAAATTTTAAACTTGGGTAAACGTTAACAAAAGTTGAGTTAGAAATGTTTAAACTGCGTGTGCTGTTTTTCACACACTTCTTTCACTTTTCAGGCTGTGCTGAGTGTAATGAGACAGCGCAATGTAAATGTGGATCTGCAGACATTTGGGTGCCTTGCATTAGCCTGTGACCAACAGAAAGACGGCCTTCAGTTGCTGAAAGACATAGAGGTGACAAAACATATGTTATTACACTAAATTTGGATGTTTATTGACCTGAATTCTGTCTCTGGCATTGTTAGTGCAGAACTCGCCCCCTGCTGGTCAGTAGAAAGAATGCAGGGTTTAGGTGCTTGTGCATCTTAGTTAACTTTGCTCTATGCGTTTTTCCTCAGGAAGCAGGACTGAGGCCTAACGTCCACGTGTTCTCTGCTCTGATTGGCCGAGCGAGTCGCAAACTGGATTACGTCTACCTAAGAACAATCCTTAAAACCATGAGTGACATGAAAGTCTGGCCTAATGAGGTCATCATCAGACAGCTGGAGTTTGCTGCACAATATCCTCCCAACTATGACCAGGTCAGCATGCACCCATCTATACTGTGCACATCTATAATGATTGGTACATGAGTGTTTCCCACATATTTAGAGTAGGCATATGCTCTTTTCAAATAATTATTAGACATTAGACACTTATACTCCTTTATAAGTTTTTTAATTCACAAATAAGTACCATATAATTAGCTGCCTCTTCAGTGAGTCTCTTATCACAGACTTCAGCTGGTGGCAAGCTCACTGAGGCTGCAGAGCAGAACAATTATTACCGGCTGCAGTCCAAAGCAGGCAAGTTGCAAGTCCAGCCAATGTTAAAATACACAGACAGACCAGTCAAGTAAAATCTAATTTGGAAACACGGGAATAAAAATCACTGTAAACTATGTTGCTCTAATTGAAGTGTGTATGCTGTCAATCTTAATGCCTCTCTGTTTACAGACTTCAGTGTAGTCTGTAAACAGACAACTTCTTCTCATTTTGTGGCACAACAAAGATCCAACTTGGAAGGTGACTGTATGACTCATGTTTCTCCTTTCACTCTGCTCCCCTCACTTTTTGGCACCCTCTCCCCTCTCTCTATCCCAGTACAAATCCAGAAACAACTATCTGGTCCAAATTGACGGTTTCCGTGGTTACTACCAGCAGTGGCTCAAGCACATGCCTGCTCAGAGCGCTGAGGAGGAGCAGGGAGCGCTGCAGTCCCAGACAGATGCTGCAGAGCTGAGAACAGAGGCTGCAGATGGGCTGACGGAGGCCCAGAGGAACCACAGAGCAGCAGCCAGGAGGTGTCATACTCGCAACAGGGACAGGAAGAGCAGCAGCACATCCGCTGTATGACTGAACTCCAGGAGATCATCACGACCACTCTTTTACCTGCTGCTTGTTCTGTAATAAACTTTATAACCCTGGATGGACTTGGATCAAAATAGTGGCTCGGGTTGCGTTATTCTTGAAAAACAGTGATGTCATTGTGATTTATGTTGCAGTTTCCAGTTTTTTGGCTTGTTTATTGAAAAATAAAACTTCTTCATATCCATCTTTTCAGTTATACTGTCATTTTAAAGGTACCCAACCAACCCATTGGCTTTCAGTGACCCACACTGGTCATAAAATTTGTGGATTTCGGGTTAACTGAGTATTAATATTGATCAGCGTTTCGATAAACAAACAGCAGTTTCATAACGTTGTTTGGTGTGAGGATTACCTGCATTTGTAAGCAAGTTGAGGGCCTTTGTTAAATGTGAGGTTTGTTCAGTTCATTTGTATGAAGAGTGCATTTTCAAAGTCAACTTTTATCCAAACGAACAGTAAGCGTGAACCTGATGACCCAGAGCTGAAGATAAATCATCTGGCAATAAGAGGCAAACGCATTTCTGATTTCTAAAGCAGCTATTCCCAGACTCGCTGCTTCAGCCCACTCAAACCTTTCATCAGTACAGGACTGTACTACTTTGTGTTTTAATGGATTCAGTTTGATCTCCTGTTGATTTGGTTGAGACTGATTCTGCAGAAATGGCTTATATTTCCGTTCAGTTTCAACCTTCCTCCTGTGCTGACTGCTGGACGAGACCGAAGCACAGAGGAGGAGAGGAGAGGTGTCTGGGCTGTATATGTGAAAATTACCTACCAGAAGTAGAAATTTTCATTTGGTAGGGAAAAATGTAAACATGTACTTTACTTTTATACAAGCAATCTTTAAAACAATCAGTAACATGAATACATCCATATCAGTTTATATATTTATACTGATCACTAACAGTGGTAAACCTGTAAGGGATCTGTGTTCAAGCTGCAAAGTGAAGGGCTGTGAGCGCAGGTCTGCTAAAGGAGGATCTCATACTATGCTCATTGATTCTCTATCTGACATTTTGCTCTGTAACATTCGCATGAGCAGTCTGCTAGAGGTCATTTTGTAGAACTTTGGCAGTGTTCCTCCTTTCACTTCTTCCACAAACCAATCCAGCTAATCTCCTGGTACTCCTTCATGCTTTTTAGTCTGTGTTGTAAAACATGGCAAATTTTGTGATGGCACATACGGAGCACATACCTTCCTGGAGGAGCTGGAGTCTCTGCGCAACCTAAATTGGCTGCAAGTACTGTCTTATGTTACCAGCAGTGACAAGGACACGAACAAAGATCAAAACCAGAGAAAAAAGTCAGTCAGGAGCAATAAGGAGAGAGCAATGATCTGCGGCCATCACCTGCAAAGTCACCTCCTTTTTGGGGGAATAGTCTTGGTGTTGCCTCTCCAGGTCACCTGGGCCCTGTACTGACAGGGAAGTTCATAATACCCGGGTCTCTTTTCCCCATCGGGATTCTCTCACCCTAACAACAGCAGTCAGCATATAGGTTGAAGTCCCACGGTTTATTGATGTTGGCAGCATCTGATAAATCACATAATTTATGCATACTGAAAGTAACCTGCTATGAGAGGACAGAGTGCAGTAGCTGTGTATTAAAAGTGTTTAATGAATGGGTTTGGCATTTGAATATATCATTAAGGTCTGTTTGATCCCAGGAAAGAAAGGAAGGAAAGTGTTAGTAAACAGATTTACCAAGATCACAATTCTGGTAAAATCTGACAGATTATTATTGAGTATTTAATTTAATACATGTTATCTGCAGTGGTGTTTGACTGTCAGAGAGGAAGTAAAGAGTACATAGAAAAACTGGATTTAAACATGGTCCTGTCCGAGCATAGAGGTCGGACAGGAGGGAAGACGAACATTTGATTGGTCAGAAGGTGGTGAGCTCATACCTCAAACCACACTAACACTGATGTTAACCTGAAGAAGTAGCTTACATGGTTTCTACTTCCTAACTGACAAAGTTGAAGAGACTCGACTTGGTGACCAAGTGTTTCCTTCATTTTTAGGAGCAATGTATTAACAAGATGATGATTTTCACCTTAATTAGATCGTTTTCTCTCTTCTCTGCGGGAGGCGGCGGTAATGCAACTCGAAGCTGTTACACAGCCGCAAAACACAGAAGAAAGAAACAGCAGCAGAGGAAGCGACGCCATCACATCCGGTGACGCAGAAATTTCAGTCGCCAGGCGCGAAGGAAAGCGTACTTCGGTTTAGACGCAAACAGTAAAACAGAACAAGGTAAGAAAACTATGGTTTACGGTACCGACGCGGTCATTTATGTGGTTTACGTCACACGTTCGCCTGCAACTAATAAAGCGCGAGGTCGACCTTTTTTTTCTACGCGTTTCTAAAGGTGTAAAAATAAATAACTGTCCTCTTAAAAGTAAGAAAACCGTACTGTCCCTTTGTTAGGCCTGGCTGGAACAGTTCATGCTGCAGAATAACACAGTGTTATTGAGAAAGTATGACCTCTAAAGTTTAGAAACTCACAACAAAGCACACAGCTGAGCCTGTGGGCTAGCAGCCTGCATGACTGCAGGGTTAAGTCTACATTCATGCACGCATTTCATGCTGCAGGTCTGCATCTGTGAACTAACTGATGGTTGGCTTTCCTTTTTCTGTTTCTTTCTTTTTTTTAACCAGGCATTTCTGATGTGCACGCCAGCAGACAGTGGAGATATAATCATCCTGAGTAGTGATGATGACGATGATCATAAGGATGGCAGAGACATGTCCTGCCTCATTGTGGAGGTGGAGGATGTGAAGGAAAAAGGTGCCAGCGGTTTTATTTTGTTTGCTCCATGTGTTTGTGGATGATCTTATGACTAACCACTAACAGCCTCTGTGTTCCAGACTGCGTGTCCTCTCCCAGCACTCTGGAGGAAGACCTGGTCGTGACCTTCTCCCGCCACGCTGATGTGCTACCTCATGCTCGCTACGACTGTCCCATACACCCTTTTACGTGAGATACAATTTGAAATGACCATCAGTGCTCTTTACCCCCGTCTTACTGTGTCTGGTGCTCACACTGCTTTTCTTTGGCACGCTCAGGCCTACAGAGTTGGAGACTAACATGCCAGTAGACAGTAACCAGCTCATTTGTGATCAGTGCTTCTGCTACATCTGCGATAAGCTGGCATCGTTGGTAGGTGTTAATGTTAACAGGATAAAATGTATCTGACCAGCAGTTTGGAGGGTTCACCAAACTGTATTCATCTGGTTTTTTGCTTGTTTGTTTTGTCTCTTTGCTCTTGCCTACTCAAAAATTAAATAAATGCAGTGTATCAAGAAACAGTATGGGGGGAAATAAAGAATTAAATAATTTTTTGTAGTGTTATCAGCTCATTTTTAAGCTAATTTTGAATACAGGTCCTCTTCCACTTCTCTTACTTGTGGTGTGTCATAAGGTTCTGTACTGGGCTCTTATTGTTTCCGTTGTATCTGCTCCGTCTTCAGCACATTTTGGGCACCTTTAATGACATGACTGTCATCGCTGCTATCTGCTATGCTGATGACCTTCGGTTATACAGCTCTCTTTTTAAGCTACAGATCCTGAATAGGTCTATGAAGAGTTGGATGGCAAACAGCTTTCTCCAATTTAATGAGGAAGTCCTTGTTTATGCCCCTGACTTATTTTTGCCTAAGGAAATAGAAGCTCTTGGTCCCCTTGCCTTGTTTGCTAAACTTCTATCAGGATTTGACATGAACATCACTTTGAGTGTTCATGTCTGATCTGTGGTTCACACTAAAGACATATTGTCAAGTCCCATTGTGTCACACTCTGATCTGGAGATTGTTATTTATGCATTTATTTCTTGGATTGCTGTAATTCATTGTTTTCTAAGTAAACACAACTCCCTGGAATGTCTGAAGGTTGGTCAGAGTGCTAAGTCTTCCAAGAGCTGTCATGGCACACTGTTGCTGACCGAGCTGCAGTGACTCCAGATTAAATTCAGAGTCTATTGAAAAATTCAGGTTTTGATTTTTAGAGCTCTTCATGAACAAGCACCAGCTTATGTCAGTGACGTTTTACATCCGTATGACCCCAGCAGGTCCTTGAAGTCATGGGGAGGTCTCTTACGAAATAGTGATTGATGTGCTTTTCTCGCTGGTTTTTCAGTGTGAAATGTGGTGCGTGAGCAGCATTTGTCACTGCAACAGCCACAAGAGGAGCGCCTTCTGGAGCGACCTCAGAAACCATAAGCTGCTGGGAGGACTGACTGCTTTCAACCTCACCCTGTCAGAAATGGACTCGCACCTCCGACAAGCAGGTGCAAACAACAAATTCATGCGAGGAGACACTCGAGATGAACCTCTTGTACTGTGACTTTAAATATATCTTACTAATGTATTTCTTTTTTTTCACTTCATGTCCAGCGACGTTGCTGCAGCAGTTCAGACAAGAGCTCTTTGCGCTCTACTCGTCCTACATGAAAGGCGAGGCACTAAAGGAATATGGTCTGAGCCAAGAGAACCAACAAGGCTTCATCTACAAGTATGTTTCATAACACTAAGATTTTGATTTCTATATTGCAGTGATTAAGAGCCACATCTGGACTAATTACACATCCATAGCTGTAAGAGATTCCCAATATGTCTATAAATATGTGGAGCATTTACATTGATTATTCAGGTCAGTGTTTTTACACTGTCTACGGGCATGGTCATAGCTGTCCGCTGTCTCTGCCCTCTGCCTTTGCTGCACTGCCGCCACCACCTTCAACATGGAACTTCATCACTTTCCCCAAGTCAGACTTTTTAAGGCTTTTTAAGCTTCTTGAGCTCGCAGGTATACATCAAGCAGCTGGCTCGTAAATCACTTAATGCTCTGCTTTGATGTACAGTCCAGTTCACAATAACTTTTTATAATTATTTAGACATTTGACAGAAGGCCAACATTGAAGTGTGAACCACTGTCGTGGATCACCTTGTTCAGCACTTCCTTCTGGTCATTGGTCAGAGCATCACATGTCATGAGCTCCATCAGGTGTAGGAGGTCTTTCTAATCTGTTTGGTACAGTTTTTTGTGAAACCCACGCAAAAAAGAAGAAGAAAGTAGCCATCAGTGGTCTTTATATTCACTTGGGCTTGAATTGTAGTCAATTCAATAAACTTTCGTTATATAGTGTCAAATTACAGCAACAAGTGCCTCACAGTGATTTCGATTGTAAGGTAAAGATCCTACAATTAGCCGACCCCTCACAAGCCAAGTACTTGGTGACAGTGTGAAGGGAAAAACTCACACTGCAGGAGAAACCTGCAGCAAAACAGAGCTCAGGAAGGGGCAGCTAACTGCTGGGACCGGTTGGGGGCAAGTCTTCCATATCTTGTTACGGATCAGGTCCATGCCTGGAAGTTGCTGTGACAATTTTTGCCTTGAACATTCCCAGTAATGAGCTTAAACTTGTGGAAAGACCAGCTATTCATCCTACAGATCACCAAGGCTCACCTCAAACACATGTCCTTTTAGACCATCTGAGGTCATTTTGGTTCCCTGAGTCCTGGTGACCAATATTGTTTAACACGGCTGATGTTAAGGCATCAGCCATTCTTGGAGAAAGGGTACACACTTTTTTTTTTTTTTTGCTTTTAGTGACGTATTTGGAGATAGTGTTATAAAAGCTTCAGTTTCTTTTCATAGGACTGCCTGGTTGTAAATCTGTGATTTTTATATTTTTAATTTAATTTTTTTTTAAAAATTATTTCTTTATTTATTGCTTGTTCTTTTCATGCATTGCTGACTTCTCCTCTAAACTGTAGACACGCTGATTGTGATCTGCTGTAAGTAATTATTTAAAATGATATAAAATTGAAAAAGTCTGACGTAACGTTTCAGTGAGGTCAGCTGTTAATTTTAGCAGTGCAGTGCTGGAACGGGTCCACACACTTGTATATTAGGACGTCTCTTTAACTTTCCTTTGTTTTTTGTTGTGTTTGTTCCAGTTACTCACCGGTGTTTGAGTTTGTGTCCTCGTTCCTGAACCAGGCAGATCAACAGGACAGCAGAGCGGCAGTCATCATGAGCCTGGGGGCTGCTGAGGACTTTATTAGACATTTCCATTTCTCAGGGTACTCATTGCAGCATTTCCGCTTCTACACGCATTCCTTTTTTCTTCATTTTCAAATGTTTTTCAATATATTTTTTTATTTCATTTACAGGGGTTTCATCTTGGCTTCTCCAATGGCTAATGTTGATACAGCTAAAACGATGTTACTGCAGAGGTAAGTGCATGCACATTCACTTCTTGTGTTATACCTGTAGCTCATTCACCTGGATATTCATCTTCTACTTGTGTTTGTGTGTGCTTACCAGGGTAATAGCATTGGTACAGAGACAGATGGTGATGGCTAATTTTACTCCAGACTTCATTAACAAACTACAGGAGTTTTGCAAGAAACTGCATTTCCCAGCTGAGCTGAGGAACATGAAAAACAGGTGTGCTCGCCTTTTAACCTCCAGGGTTACCTGTTACATGTATATGTTGTTGCTATAACTTGACGTTTGTGTGCTCCAGCCTGTGTGTTCGCCCCTGGAACGACGTCCTGCTCGTGTCTGTGATGAAGGGGCAGAACGTGTCAGGCGTGCGTAAGGACAAAGGCAAGAAAGACGTCCTGGCTGAACAGATTTCTGTGATTCTGCTGAGGACGGAGCTACTGCAGCATCAGCGCAGGTTCATATACGTGAACTCATCCACTTTGCTGTGTGTAGACAGCTGTCTAACTGTGTTGTTTCTGTCTGCAGGTACAGAGAGCTGTGTCGATATCTACGAGTCGTCCAGACAGACGACACCACACAGTGAGTACATGCACATGTTCCTCTGTTTTTCTTTCCAGCAAAGTGCATTTTGTGTTATTCAGTCTATGCATAGTTTTATTTATTTATTTATTTTAGTTTATTTAGTCCTAGTGGTGGTCAGAGGGCCCGGTGGCGCCATTTACCATAATAATAAAGCCTTTCATGTTGTTGTGTTGAGGATGCAGTGACATTAGGAGTGGCAGTCCTGAGTAATGCACTTGAGTTGAAAAGGCAGTACATGATTTAAAAACATAACCAGCACTCACAGTTTTGGGGGTGAGATGAGGACCAGGCTTGACTATTTGTAGGCACTTTGTAAGAAAATCCTTGATCCAGGTGCAGGCGAGAGTGAGACAGTTTCCTGGATCAGGATATCAGTGTCGTAGGTTTAACGTGTTTTTTTTTTTTTTTTTTTTTCTACATTTACAAAGTAAAAACTATAAGCCGATCACCCCCACGCCACGGCCATTAGGAAGAGGGGAGGTTTGAGGCACTTCTGCACTTGCTTCACATTTTCAATCTTCTTCTTCCAGTCTAGGATGGATAATAAATTTTTAATTAAAAAAGGGGAAAACTGTAGCTCTTCCATATTTCATAGTTTAAAACCCCATCTGGAGTTCATTAATTTGTTAAATATAGGTTCAGAAATGACTGTCAATCTGCAGTTACCATCTATAGAGAAACTAAAATCGTAAACATTTAAATATTTAGACACCAGCAGTGACATGTTGCTGATTTGCTGCATTGGATTTGTTTCTCTGTCAGGTTTCAGCAGATACAAGACCTCATCCCCTACTTCATGTGCATGGCTGGAGACTTTTCATCAGCTCTCACAAGTTTGTTCCCCTCTGTGAATGCTCCCGCTTCCCGCTTTAATCCGGACCTCTTCCTCTTTTATCTCAAAGTCTTTGAAACAGCGACTGCACCAAAGCTGACACCAGTCAGTAAACCGGGAGAGCTCTGCTGTGCTGGTGCAGCGTGGGAGTCTATTGAAGGTCCAGCAGAGATGTTTTGTTTTTTGGGGGGTGGGTTCGTACCAAGTTCAGAAGTGACCCAAGTCAGTTTTGTGTTCGTGTCTGATTTTTCTTAGTGTTACTGTAGTTATCACAAAATATTCAGTTGAAAGTGCATTACTGAAGCCATTCATGTCATCACTCCACATTCCCAGCTTCAACTGTGCATCCACATACACCTCAATAGAGATGTCGCATGCACAATAATGTCATGTGATCGCAGCTACAGCCCCTTAAAGTTATACTAACTGTGACCTCTGTGCTTGCGTCTGTATGACCGCCTCCTGTGAATCAGGTCACATGGGAATCTGATTTTGGCCACACAATTGCAACATTAATATGAACAGTTCAACAAAAAAAATCAACGCAAAATATCCAAATGAAGCAATGAGGTTTGCAGTGTAAACGTAGCTTCAGGATAAGATTTAGTATAAAACAAGGATTGATAAGAAATCTGATTCCCCTCTGTGTGTAGATGCTGTGCCGCTGAAACGTCATGAGCTGGTGAGGTTTGCTCTCAGGGCTCAGGGATGCTGCAGTGCTGTATATGCTGATGTAAGTTAAAAGCTCCTTTTTGCTTTTGAGCAATCTCCTCATTCAAGTCTGAAAAATGTTTTTGTCTCTAGATATCTGCCATCTTTATTTCTTGGTTTAGGTACATTTTATACTTGTTAAAACCTTTTCTAGTATGTCCCATGTCTGACTGCATGTCTCATACTCCTCTGATCCAGTCTCGGTGTTGGACCAGTTTGCTCACGATTGTCAACAAGCCTTGCGGTTCACTCACTGCTTTACCCATGCCCAGTATGCAGTTTCTGCAGGTGTGTACTTCTTGATTGTTAGAGTTAGACTTGCAGCTTTCTCCATGTTTCTCTGCTTTGTTTCATTCTGTATTTTGTCTCCTCAATGTCTGAATGATGAAGGAAGCGCGGGATGTTGTGAAAGGGATATTGCTTGATCAGAAGGGCTCCAATATGCAGATCCCACGATCCTTGCATGAGGTCAGTGCATTAACACTTACACTTCAGTGTTTAGAATTTGTGAGAACTAAACAGTCCAAT